AGTAGTACACATAGCTGCACCCACATAGGCAAGCCCACCCACACCCCACAGGGGCTCACAGACACGGGGGCGAGGGGGGGGGAATAATTGACCTGCCCTTACCACAGGGCTGTGTAGACAATGCTTCAGAGTGTAAGGAAGGTCCTGCTTCTGTTTGTCCTGCCCCTCACATCAATAAACACTGTGGAGAGCCTCACGCATGTCTCAAAGGACATCTTTAATTTCTACAATGAGGACTGAGTGTTTGCTGGGTGAGGGGTTAGAGGGGTACATCTGTAGTGTGCCTGGAGGGCTGGTGGCATCTCAGAGGCAGGGTCTTTGAGACAAGGGGGAAATAACCAGGCTGCAAGAGGAAACATTGATGGAGCCAGTACTGCAGATGTTAGCTGAGGTGTTACCATTTCTGGTGGGGTCAGCCAGTAAAGACCTCGAGACATAGCAGCAATTAGCAGGTAGGAGTTACAGGGATGGGAGCTGACATGATGGGAGGCAGAACCAGCTCAAAATAAAAGGGTGGGGGACTCTGGTTAAAAAATGGTTTTGAACTTCAAAATGGTGACAGCAGCCATTAAACCAAGTGTGTGGCCCTTCTAAGTGTGGGGTCCTGTGTGATCTATGGATGTGACCTACACTTTCATAGAAATGTGAAGTGTCAGGAGAGCATTTTCTCCATCTTCCAGGCTAAACTAGAGTCTCGTAAAAATGAGATTTCTTCTTTTTAACTGAATTGCTCAGAAACAAACAAACAAAATGAATGGGAAGCACAGAACAGGATAAAAATGAATGGAGAAGGGGCTCAGAAGAAATGAGCCAGCCAATAAAAAGGCTGCATGGGTTATTACCAAGAATGCCTTCACCTGTGGCCCTGCAAGATGCTACAGAGAGGTTTAGGACAAAAATTGTATTGTGACAACTAGGAGCAAGGTGTTGCTCTGACAGTCTCAGGTGCTTATGTAGGAAGCTGGCTGGTGGGGAAAGGTGTGACATTTGGAAAGAGAGGGGCAGAGAAGGTTGAAGAATCTCTGAATTTGACATAAGGGGAGATTGCTCCCTGGGAGAGCTGAGGAAACTCTGGGGGTACCTGGAGGCAGAGCAATGGTTAGGATGACTTCATGAACCACAAAAAAGTCAGGAAACCTCACATTCTCACGAGCACACCATGATACAGAAGGGTGCCCTCACCTGAGTGAACAAAAATATGCCATTGTATCCTGTCATCTGAAGACAACCCCAACCCCAAAATGACCCCCTTGTCCCCATCTCCCCTTTACTCCTCAGCCCCTTAGATTCAGATACAAATGATCCTGCTGAGGACAGGGGTTCTCTGAATCCTTACATCACTTAATTTCCACACCCACTCTGCACAGTGTTGCGATTCTCGCTTTAGAGCAGGAAGAATAATACAGAGAAATTGTAGTCCTGAAGTCACATTGCCGAGCAAAGTCAGTTTTGAGATTTCGATCCTGTTATTCTGATTCCAATTTAGTGACCCATTCAAATACCCACTGCATAATATTGTGAGAAGTAGACAGGTAAGTTTTTATTGATGGAAAAGAAATCAAATAACATACTCAGTATATTAGGCAGAGTGCCATTCATAATGCCACCTTAGGGGGATGAAGGCACAGTAGATGATGACCCCCAAACAAACAGGACTTACTACATAATTCAGCACATGCACACACACACACACACACACACCCTACCAAACGCAGACAGCTCGCAAGCCAACCCTGGTGCCCACTCCTCTTCCCTTGCAGAGGACCTGACAAAGGTGAAACCACCCAAGGTCACTGTCTTCGAACCATCAAAAGCAGAGATCAGCCGGACACAAAAGGCCACTCTCGTGTGCCTGGCTACAGGCTTCTACCCCGACCTCGTGGAGCTGAGCTGGTGGGTGAATGGGAAAGAGGCCAAGAGCGGGGTCAGCACGGACCCTGAGCCCTACAAGGAGCACCCCGACCAGAAGGACTCCAGCTACTGTCTCAGCAGCCGGCTGAGGGTCTCTGCCTCCTTCTGGCACAACACCCGCAACCACTTCCGCTGCCAAGTCCAGTTCTACGGGATCGATGAGGAGGACAAGGCCAACTGGAAGAACAACGGCTCCATACCAGTCACCCAGAATGTCAGTGCCGAGGTCCAGGGCAGAGCAGGTGAGCGGGGCCTGGGAGGGTCAGGCAAGGAGTGAGGCCGACCAGGGAGTAAGGGGCTCCAAGGAGAAGCCTGGAAAGATCAGATACAGGAAAAAGGGGAGGGTGTGGG